AATACCGAAGTTACTCGGCACAGTAATTATTACATATTAATTAAAGAATGCTCTCTTTATTCTAACATGCAGACTATTCTTTATTACCAGATCAGTCAAATCAGACAAATCCTTTATTATAAGCCTCAAAAAAAAAGATTCAACAGGCGTAGTCGCATGTGAATCATTATGGAATAATCCTTAAACATTTATGAAGATCTTGCACCGATAGAAAAACCAAACAATCTCCAAGATGGAAATCTTTTATTAACTATTCTTATGCGCAACAATCCTGTGATCAAACCTTTACAAAAGATTAAATTTGGGAAAATAGAAACTTTTATCTGAAACACACTACCACAAACCAAACCAAACCAAACAACTAATATACAAACTAATGGTCTAAAAAAAAATCCTAAATGCAACGCGAATTGTGGATACAAAGAATATGCAACACCTTAGCAAATGAAACAATAAATATTAATATCCAACTTCATCAACGGAGAAATAGAAGACGATAAATCTTCCCTCAAATTACTAAACCAAAAACAAACCTACCGAAACGGTACGATTACAAACCAACGCCAGGATCATGTTCAAATTCCAAAACAAGAATAAAGCTTTAGTCATAAAAACACACCAATATTCAGAATCAATCTCCTCGAATCTACATAGTCTAAGGATTAGCGTATCAATAATCCTAGGACTCTCGGATTTTGAAAAAGGACAAGTATATGTAACGTTAAGCAGATGCGATAAGTGGGGCCAATGTGAAAATTAGATCATATCCGAACCACTAAGCCATTACAAAATCACAACCTAACACCTTAATACCCTAAATCTCAAACACCCACTTACTAAACAAGCTCAAAATTCATAAATTAACGTATATTCAAATCTACTTAGTGGTGACGAAATCGAGCTTTCCCCCTCATCTAAAAATAAATATAACACAACATAATTTTATTACCTAAATCGCCTGCAAGCTTAAAGGCTGATTAACCAATCAAATTTCATTATACTGACCAATCAAATTAACGTTATAATATATGTTTCCTGAATTTCTAGCTAAAGTTTTTTTGTTGCTCCTTTTATTTAAACACGAGTATGGATTACTTTAAAAATTTAAAGAATAGAATAACACCTCAAAAGACGCAGCCTACTCATGCTGAGCAGTTAGCAAAATTTCGTAAGTCTTGGAAGTATATCGAGGTGAGTGGAGGTGATCAACTGATGAACCTCCCGTTTCCTTATTAAAGCAGATAAATACTCTTACTTTTCCTTGGAATCAGTTGAAAGATAACTCACTATGCAAAGACTTTAAATCGCGCCTGTTGATGTAAACATTTCAGGCTCAATTCAATAATGACGATAAGAAGCCTCCCGCAAATCATGTTCTCCAAACCGAAATTCATTTACATCTCAAAACCATGGTGGACCTCCTTGCTGACGAAGGCTTAATGCTTGAAGATGTAAACACAGGTCTTTGCATGGAAGAATTTTTGAAAAATAACGTTCTTAAAGAATTGGAAAAACTTGCTAAAGCTGATATTCCGAAGGGTATTCGTGGTGAAATTATTCGGACTGTGGCTCAAATGATCAATTTATTGGATGATCGATTTTTGGTCCATAATGCTGTTCATCAACCCACCGTACAACTTTTGCGTACGTGTGTTCACGATGAAGGTGAAAAATATGACGAAGATTTGGTAGATTTAATGTACATTATTTGTTCAAAAATTCATGCATTCCCCGCACTTTTGCATATTTTTTTCCACGATACCCATTGGCTTACTACTCCACAAAAGGCAAATATAAAGAAAGAAGCTGGTCAAGTAAGCTTCTCATCAAATAGTAGCCAGGATGGAAATTTTGATGATGGTGCTTCAATATCAACAAATGTGACTACATCAGTTACAAAAACTACAGAGTTTACGGAGGAACCTGAAAAACCGGAATATGAATTTTTACTCTTTACTTATCTATTACAATTTCTTCATAGAGAAGGTAAGAGTGGCGAATACGCAAGATATGGACTACTTTTCATTATAGAACTTGCTGAGGGTCCATTAGGTGATTTCATTCTTGAAAGTGATTTCGCTACAATTATGGCTGCAGGATTAGGTGCTCTTTATTCTCAATTGCCTCGAAAATTGATGGTTAAGAGTTCAAGTGGTGGCTTAACGAATGCCACTTTATTAGGATTTGGTGATAATACTAGCGCAGAATTAGATCGGTTACGTTCCAGTGGAATCGAGGTTTCTTCATCGACTGATTTTAAAAGCCAATTAGATTCATTCTTAAAGTTATTAGAATTCTGTCAAGATGTCCTAAATGAATGTCCTAACCAGAATATTTCTAGAGAATTGCTTACAAACGTAAAAACAAATTTCCTTGAAAACATTTTATATCCATCAATTATGGAATGTTCCGATTCCGATGGCTCAGCTGTTGCTGTAATTTCTTATATTGACATTATTATGCAAACATTGGATCAAGAAGAGTTGGTGGATGTAGTAGTAGGTTTCTTAATGGATTCTGATGGTGATGATGAAGAATTTTGGAAACAAACAGCAAAGAAGAACAAAATGTTAAAACGTCAAAGTACAATTAATCTGTTTGAAGGCATCGAAAATAATCCAATTAAATCATCTCCTTATTTTACTGCCACTGGTCGATTTACTCTTAAAGATCTTATTTTTTCGCGCCTTCGCTCTTCTTCACAACAGACTGTTATTGCTACTCTAAAACTGCTTCATACAGTAATCTCTAAACATTGCAGGTATTCTTTGAAATTATTAAATATCGAATTGGATGAAAATGCTACGTGCTTCCCAAAACCAAATTATTTAATGGAAGATCCATTTAATGTTGAACAACACGGTTCTGAGAGAGAGAGAGAAAGAGACACAAGTTTTGGTCAACAAAAACTTACAACAATTAGTCATCATTTGAGAGAGTTAGATCTTTTCTTTTCTTTAATTTCTGCTATTGATCCAACACAGAACATGGAAATATTTACTAATGGTTACGATTCTTATGTTCGTGATGCTGAAATGATCATAGAGGCAGATAGATGTTATATTAATGGTCAGGATATGGAATGGACGGAAGAAGGTCCTGTCAGACCAAAATCAAATAAATCGAATAAACAAAGGTCTACTTATAGTCATGGAAAGGGTGGAAAGAAATGTGGATCCAAAGGCATGTCTGCAGTGCCCAAGCATCGTTTGAATCCTACAGATCGTAATCCGGGCGATTCACTTTTACAAATTCTTCTTGGCACTCTTTCTAATTTTTTTGCACATTCACCCGAGTTAAATTTAACTTTAACTGGGGTATTATCTGCTTTAGCTGTTTGTCCTTATAGATCATTAGAAGGCTGGCTTGTATTTAGTGGAATTGATAGGTTAGATAATCATCGTGATTATTCAACGAAAGGTTTTGAAAACAACCATCATGATAGAAATGTTGAATTATTATCACCTGGTATTAATAATCACGAAGGTCACGCTAATTCCGACAGTAAAGAAAAAGCAATCGATGACTTTGATGAAGCTGATGATCGTTCCATTGATTATGATGTTGATAAAAGTCTATCTGCCGTTAAGGCAATTGGCGCCACACCAATGTGGACAAATTTCCCACCATTCTTCACTATTTTCAAAACTCTAACACAACAAGTTGATTATTATCGCAGTGAAATTGATGGATTTGATCAATATCTTGAAGAAAGAAGGAATGGGTTACTGGATGCAGATGATGGGATTGATGAAAATTTCTTTAAACAACCTTCATACCTTCCTACACGTCCTCCAGCCAGAAGAGGTAGCACCGCGGCAAATCATTCATCATCACCGAACCCTTCTACAAAAACTCGTAGAAACACATCTCATTCTCCTTCCTCAACTCATCAAGCTCCTAGAAGGGCAAATTCATTATCACCAGCGGAATCGTCATCACCCATGGGATCATCAGCACCACTATCATCTTTCTCTATCGTTACACCCCTCTCAACACATTATAAAAAGACAGAAGATATCAAAATTCTGCCATTATTTCCAACTCATTTCGTTAACGAAGAGGAAGAAGAAGATTCAATTGACTACGGTGATGAAGAAGATGAGGATGGATTTGCACCAAGGAAACAAACTAGAACCAAAACAAAAGAAACAAAACCTAAAGAGATTACATTAAGCACACTTTTAAATAATGTTGTTATTTTAGAGGAGGCTGTTAAAGAATTAGTTGCGCTCGTACAAGTGAGAAGAAGTCTAGGTGTCGATGAAGTTAGATATTTGTAATATTGCATGTACGATTATTTATTTATTTAGTAGATGCTATAATATAAATTTGGATATTTATGTGTTATTTTACCTATTTTAAGAAATGGTTTATATTATTTTCTTTTACAAATTAAAATTATTGTATGTATAACTGTATCACTTCATTACTTCATCATTTTAAAAGTAATGAAATTATTGAAATTATTAACTTTTTTCAATGTGTAATAAACAAGAAACATTAGAAAAATTATTGTAATGTCATAATTATTATCACGTGAATTTACAAATTGACCAATAAAAATTGTCGATAGGTTAAGTGTCGATGAAATTTGGACACAACATCAACAACTCACATTAGCATCCTTATTGGCTGATCTCCTTAACATCCAAGTAAGATCGCTAGTTTGTCACATAAGAATTGAATTCAACTTAATTGTGATCAAATTTTCGAAGCGACACTTTCTTTTCATTTGAAACTCAGGAAATTAATTTACAGTCTCGTTACGCGAAAAAAAACGTGTTTTTTGTTTCTACTACAGATATTTGAAGGTTAGTATTTTAGAAAAAAGTATAAAACGGATGAATTTAGAAGTGTGAAAACTAAATAGTATGTGATATCTAGTTCAAGAGAGTTTCTCCTCTCCAAATTTTTCCTTCACATTCTTGTTGCCTTATATCATCCTTGTACTTTGAAGATTTAAAAAATTCTTGTAACTGAAATAAAATTATATTATAATGTCAAAACGCGTAGCAATGGGCAAAATAAAAGTACTTCTCACCCAATATAACACTCGATCTGCAAGAAGAACGATACCTACCCCTGAATCTTCCAGCCAACCTGATACACCAGAAGGTGCTTCTCATATCATAAATAATACTGTTCAACAAGCTGTCGCTGGTAATTCAATTGCGATACCTACACCCGAACCCTCGGCACAATTAAACTTTACAGGAAAAAATATACATATTGTACCTACATCAACTATCATTTCAACTGCCATTTCAGACCGGATATGTGGCAATCCTAACTGTCAAACAAGGGAACCTTCAGCTTGGAGAAGAGATCTTGCCGGCACTGGATGGCTATGTAACGCTTGTGGTTTGTTGTATGTTATAAATTTAACATTTCTACATTTATTTCATATGAATCATATAAGCAAATTATTAATTTGTTATTGTTGATTTATAGCATACGAGCTCGAGGTTTTCATCGACCTAAAGATGTTTGCTTAGCTTCTGCAGCAAAGGTAACATTTGAAAATTTATATCTATTGTTAAAAGTATCTAACGTTGATTGTATTTTTTAATGTTTAGTTACTGGCAATGTATAGCAACTCACAATCTATAAAGCCGCAGAAAAACGTAAAACGACGTAGGGTAAGTATTTTGTTAATATCATTGGTGACAAGATCTTATTTGAAAAATTTAATGCCTTTACAGATTTCATGCTCATCGTACAAATATTCTTCTTTTTATTTTAGCCTCAAGATGATGGTGCCGACAATGATAAGGACAACGCAGCAATAACATCTGCTGCACAAGAACAATCTCGTGTTGATGAAGATATCGTGATGTCAGAAGCATCAACACCGGCACCTATGAATGAAACAAACAACAGCAAAACTGAAAAACGTCCATGGGATAAAAAATCATATTTGAATTGTGGTTTATATTCTGTTGATCTCAAGCACAAAGATATACCAAAAAGACGTAATAAAGGCAAACAAAAAGAAAGATCAATTGTAACTCTTCCCCTTCCAATACAGTTCGGCACATTTATTATGACAGAAGAAAGAAATTTTCGCTTGCCTTGGGATTTAATGATTGCTCATAAGCGGGGAATGTTAAAAAGACGTCCTGCACCATATAAGAAAATTCCTTGCAGTAAGTATTATAATTATTTATTATACCTTTAATTATAATCGATGTGTTTACAAGTTCAAAATTTCTTTCAATAGATATATTCATTGAGCGTAGACGCAAGCATGAGAAGCCAGTAGTTTGTCAATGTGTCCAACCTAGTGATGGTAGTATTGGATGTACGGAGGAATGCTACAATCGGTATTGTCAACGTTCTCATAAATTGTTCTCCGAAAGTTATTTGATTATTCATCGAATAATATTTGCAAGTTTGTTTTTATGTTTCATAGTGTGATGTTCTATGAATGCTCTCCCAAAGATTGCCCATGCGGTGATAATTGTTCTAATCAACGGTTCCAAAAGAAAGAACGTGTAAAAGAACTTGAGGTGATCGAGGTAATTGGTTTGCTTACTTTTGCCATGCAAATTTGCACATGAATTGTCGTTAAATATGCCACTATTATCTTTAGACTCCGAACAAGGGATTTGGTCTTCGCACGAAAGTGCCTGTTAGAAAAGGCCAATTAATAATAGAATATCGCGGGGAAGTAATCTCACACGAGACAGCAAAACAACGAATGGAAACACTATACAAGAATAGAAGACACTCGTACTTTTTGGATTACGAAAAGGGCGAAGTTCTTGATGGAGGTTCACGTGGCACAGAAGCCAGATTTATCAATCACAGGTATATTTCATTATCTTTGTTATTATCACTATCATTATTACTTTCAAAAATTCCTGTTTAATGAAGTACTTATTTATTAATAGCTTTGTTTTATTTGTAAATTTTAAGCTGTGCACCGAATTGTCATATTGAGAAATGGTAATAATTTAATAAATGTAATGCTGTAAAGTTCTTAATGTTAATTTATAATATTAAGGTAAAATTTTATAAATAGGCGAGCCCCACAAGGCGAACTTTTCGTTGGCGTTTTTGCATCAAGAAATATAGCGTCTGGAGCCGAGCTGACATATGATTATAACTTCTCGAAGTTTGGTGGTGCTGAGGAGCAGTTATGTTACTGCGAATCACCCATCTGTCGTGGTTTAATGGGGTCCAAACGAGGGCAAAAGGAAACAATTAAATCCCCCAAAAAGAAAGTAAAAGTTAGCGGGAACAAGGTATTACCTTATCATTAGTAAAAGAAAATCATTTATTATTCTTCAATTTTTCAATTATAAATATTTTTTTACCTTACAGGGAACTCCCGCAACTAACGAAACAATGGTAGATACGCCGCTCTCGCAGCGAGGGCTGTCCGAAACATCAACCCAAAGAAGTTCAATTGGTGAGGAATTGTTCACGGGACTTTTATCCGATGGATCACTTTCATCGGTTGATTCATCATTGGCTGCAACGCCAATCAGGACATCGCCCTCCATATCTCCGTCCACCGCAAGCAATCCGCTATTATTTGCGGTGAATATGTTTAATGGCTTAATTGAGTTGTAAAGGCAGTCATTAAAGACTTTTTGTGTAAAAAAAAAAAGAAAAAAAAAAAAAAATTTTTAAAAAGAAAAAAAAAATTTAAAAAAGAAAAAGATCCAAAAAAAAAATTAGATTATGTTAGCCTCTTATGATATTATTTGTAAGTGTAGATACTTTATTTTGAAAAAATTAATAATATATAATGGGCATGTAATAAACCAAACAAAGTGAACATATGAACATATCGCCGTAAAAAAAGTTCAATATCCAAATTCTTAGAACGAATATTTTCTTGTGATTTTTGAATTTACTTTCTGCCTTCGATGTAGATTTTTTTTTAATTATCGAAATACCCTTCCTTCGTATAGGCCGGATAAATAATCAAAAAGTAAATTTACTTATCCTAATTATTCGGTTTTATTTGTTTGATGTTTAATTCAAGATAATTTAAAATTTTTTTTTTCCAGATGTGCGATAATTTTTTTTAATGCATTCGGTTAATTTCTTTTGAACTTTGCCTTTTTTTTTCAACAAATGTTTCGTTTTAATCAAACCTAATACAGTACATTTCTTTTCAAAAAAAATTAATATATATAAGTAGTTTGATACCTAATAAATAACATTAAACTTTACGCAAAGCACTAAAAAATAAAAAGGTTGTTAGTACTATTATAAATAATTGTCAATTACTAAAATTCTTTTCTTAGTATTAGATTTTGAATATAATAGGAGGCTAACTTATTTCTACTTTATGTGATTGTCTTGTTAATAAATAAAGATAGTATTGATTCAAGATTATAAGGTCTTATATGGATTTATAAATATGCATTAAAGATTAAAATATTTTTTTATATATAATATTTTTGATCTTTGATTTTTTTTTTAAAAAAAAAAAAATGTTCTATTACAAATTAATTATAAAGTTAATGCATCATTTGTAAATTCTAAAATAAGATGGTAATAAATTAGTAATATATATTATTAAAGGAAATAATAAAAACTTTTTTAAAAGTTTTTATATCTTAATGATTTTTGATTTTATTATTATTCAAGATGAAGAATTTAAAGAATCATATATAATAGTTGAAAATTTTTAACTATAAACAAAAAATTGGAGATATATTTTTTTTAATAAATTTATATATTAATATTAAATAAAAAAATTATGAAAATATCAAATTAAAATTATGATGGATATCAAATATTTAAACAAAAACAGATGATTGTTAGGCATTTTTTTAATCAACAATAATCTTGATCCTTTGATTAGAGTTAAAAAAGAAAATTTAGAAAATTTGATAATTCCTTTTTTAATTTCTAAGCTAACTCGCTAACTCAACCTAAAGATTTCAATTCATTTTTAAGACACTTTATAAATGAAATAAAAGAATTAGAAAGTAAGTAATTTTTTTTATAATAGCATTTTAATGTTTCTTTTTTAATTTTTATTAAAAAATAATTTATTTTTTAGATGGTATAACATATTATGATTAAAGATGGTACAGCAATTGATTTCAAATTTACAAAATGTTGCAACATAAGCTAAAATTAGTTGCAA